TTTTGTAATTGAATTTGTGTAAGGTTATATTAGGATCTTTCATTTCTGAGTACTTTTGTAGGTCAATGACCCCTAGCTATAATAAAGTAAGACTACGGCCATTTAAAGAATTGAATAATACGTATTCTGAGCATCGAAATACGTCAAATATCAATCGAGCCGCGCAGCTGTGCCCCTTGATAAATATTCAGGGGTCTCGTTCAGATGTACGGTAGGGTCCGAAACCGATTTTTGATTTGGTGACAGCGACAGTCGACCATATTTATTGTGTGTTGGATAAAGTTTTTATATATTCCACTCGTATAGACTTTTTATATATCTGTAAAAGCCTACAAAGATTGTATTTATATTTTTCTAGCACATTTCTAAACTGCCAGTGATATCAAAGAATTAAAGGTTAAAATACCGACAAATTATAGAAAAGATGGTTTTTAAGATTTACGCAATAATTGGACAAATTTGATAAAAGAATTGGAAGTACAGTCAGCTTCGTAAATGTATACAAAGGTATATAAACATGCATTAATTTGATGTTAAAAAAAACATGTTTGCTCGCATTAATTCGTATGTAATAATTACATTACGGATAAGTGCATTTATATTTTATAAAAGGAACGCCTATACACATTTATAGTTTTGTAAATGTATACTTATATAAAAGGCTGACTGTACTTTACGTGTTAAAAATTGTACGAATATAAATGATGTGTTAATGACAGAAATAGATTTATACAGTTGGACAAGCGAGCTGGAGTGAGGCCTCATTTGCACTCGGCTGCGATTAATTTTAACGGCTAATTGAATGGACGCGTTAAATGCAAATCTGTTGCAACTAAAGGTTCCCGACAAGCTATTGTTTTGTACTGCATTATAGTACAGATAATATATTTAGTTCGTTGATGTTAGGATTAATTTTGCTATCTATATAAAGCCTGCTAGACAGTCGAACTGTTCATTAAAACATCTGTAGTGTGCTTTAGGATTTTGTAATAATCAAATGTCAGAGGTGATGATGGCATTCCATGTAATATAGTCCTGAAAAATAATGTAGCCTATTTTTTTTTATTCTTTCTTGTATCAGCGAAACATTTTTGTTGATTTGTTTCATAATTTTTTGTACGATTTAAGGCTTTAAGCCTATAACATATATTATCATCAGTAATTAAATGTTTTGTTATGACTAAAATACGATATATCTCGCCACTATATTTATCTATTATAATAAAGCGTAAACACACACTTCCTTATTGCCTAAGATGTCAGCAAATGCAGCATATTCTTGAATGATTATTTTTTTAATAAAAAACAGCCCTACACTTACTTCACGCTTTAGACTATATATTTTGACAAAATTAAACTCAGGAGGTAAATATTTTGGATAAAAACCCTCATGTGAAAAAGAGGCCATAAGTTGCTGCCAACATCAAAGAAGCAAGATTGCCAAGGTTTGTCTTGTCATGCCATTTTGACATTTTGCTATTGATCATTTGGCAAATGTAAATAATAAAGTAGAATTTTCATAATTTCAGGCGGATGAAGCCACAGGGGAACAGCTAGTTTAAAATAAAATGTTAAAACATGTATCAGAGAGTGCTTTGGAGTGCTCTTACGCTGTTCTCGGTGTTCCTCCTAACATAATGACTCTAAGTAATAAATATTCAGATTGTAAATCCTTAGCGCCCCTCATCTAGTATTCAAATGAACTGCGGATTGTATAACGATGTAGACGGGATGTGGGCTAATGTCTAAATGCATGCCAGGATACTATTTTAAATGGTTTTAATTTTATAACTAGTTTATGTATTCGTGCTGTATTATTTGGAAGGAATTACACTAATATTAAAAAGAGAAAAGATTTTTGGATGTAGTGAAATGTGCGATTGTCGATTGTTTGCAGTCAATTCAACTGTTTAGTTACACAACTAAAAATCGAGTAGTCTGCGCACCTCCATATAAGCTCATAGACATCAAAGCCAGACTAAACAGTTGTGCGATAGTTTAGTTTGAGATGTGTGCAACTCTAAAGCTGCACTGCTCACACTCTAACTGCTATCAGTATATACTATTTAACAGTGGTAGAGCCCGCTTTAACATCTTCGCACGAATGCGCCGTCTCGCCCGGTGTAATACTACGACCACACAGAAAACAGGCGTGAAGCGGAAGTTAATTCCGCGTTTCGTCTGATGAGTGTGGTGCCGAAGGCCTAATTTTAGACCCTTTTCCTTTCCACTCTTTTCTTAAGAGAAAGGATGGGAAGGAAAAGTGGATTTCACGGTAGAGGAGATGCATATATATGAAGGGGAAATGTTCTCTTATGTGCGTCTCCTCCTCCGTCAATGAAGAGTAGGTAACGCATCTGCAATTGCGGATGTTTATGGGCAGCGGTCGCTTTCCACTTCGGTGGATACAGGTGGCCGCTTGCTCGTTCGCCACCCTATGTTATATAAAAAAAAATACTGTTTATATTGAAGTTAGCAGATCCGCGATAGGTGATTGTGGTGTAGGTTTCGCGAAATATAAACCCAGCGTCGGTGTGTTTTATTGAATTTTCAATTGAAGCCTAGAGTTCCGAGAAAATCTAAGTAGATTGTCGTATGTTTTGAAAACTTAGTAAATATTCTTTTGAATCTCAATAGTTTTTTAAAAGGTGTTAGTGAAAAGCCGTTTCATGAAGTTGTTTTTAGATTAAAATAAATGTATAACTTTTATATTTGACTTTAATTTGTGACTATTAAAAGTTTTTTATTTCTTTTAGTAGAATTCGATAACCTCTTTTTACAAGATTGCGTCCGAAAAAGTTTAATCCGAGACAAAGTATTGTGGGACCAAAGCTTTATAATTTTCTGGAAACGATTTATCTATACAAATATGTTTTATTTAATGTGTTTGTTATTTTATTGTAGTAATTGGCAAAAGATTGTTAGTTTAGATCTTTCATTTTTAGAAGACCTAATATCTAAGTATTTTTAACCGCAGTATTCTGGGTTACTTTCCTGTTCGTTTTATCTGAATTTGTATTTTGTTAGTAACTTCTTATAATATCTTTCGCCTCCGTCTTCGTCCGCATAAAAAGAAGTAACTAGCACTCATGTTCTTTCAGACTATGTTCTACTACTATGCCTAATTTCATCTAGATCCATTCAGCAGTTTAGGCTCCAAACTCCAATAAACATCTATCTAAACTTTCGCATTTCTAATATTAGTAAGATAATACGTTAACTGCTTGACGAGTCATGAAATTTCAGTACGTATTTAATATGTTTATTGGCTTGTCGCTTCCAGTCTTATCCCAGTCTTTGTAACTGGCAGGAAATGTAATTTATCTTCTCTAATCTAGGTTGACTGGATTCCCCCCCCCCGGGCAAAGTTTCAGCGGTAAGCTGAGTTTCGTTGCTTTGTTTACACAAGTAATTAAACGAATTAGAAATTTGGCCACTTCTCAAAAGTTTATGCATTTTCCTCGAGCTACTTGACTAATCCTATTTATTTGCATGCGAGTGTTAGTGCAGTTGTCTCTTTTATTAATACTTTTGTTTTAACTTGTTTGTGTGTTACATTTTATGTACATAGTTAAGTCCGCTGTTATATCTTTTTTTGGTTTCCAAAATTCTTTGCATACGGAATCTAAGAGTTCCGATTTCTAATCTTGCAGATTCCGTCTTTGATTTAAATTGCGAATTATATATGAAAATATTTTTATTAATTTTAAATTATTTCTATCAAATTGATTACTTCCGTTTTAGGCACATGTTACAAAATTGTTAATAAATTACAGATATCAAATGACAATCTATAATGAAAATGATCTTGATTATAACGGCTTAATATCTTAGAATAGCGATTAAAAGCTAATTGGACCGGGTCCGGTAGATTAAAAAATAAAAGCACCTTGCGTGGCTAACGCGTGGTGATAGCCAGTATTACTGTCAGATTTGAATTTCGAACAACCGTTATTGTTATTAAAAAAATTCTATCGTTTGAATTTGGAACACGTTTTGTTTGAAAAGAGATGCGTTCTATTTTTAAAAATTGTACAAAATTTTATTTTGGAGCGTATTTGGTTTTATAAAAAAATTACAACATTTTTTTTTGCTTTGTAACTTTTTAAGGTAAATAAACGTTAATGAACAAATATCTCGCATCCAGATGTTTCTACATTTCACTTGAGCTGCGTAGCTAACTGGCAAGTATTGCAATTTGCAACCTTACAACGTTAATATTACTTTCGTCTATCAACAAAAGCATCCAATTATAAACCTTGTTCTACTATAAATAGGATGCATTCGAAACAATACCATATGTCCTCTTAAACGCACAGAAAAAAAAGAGACGCAGGTAGAAAAGTGAACACAAAAGAGTGCGTTCCGTTTCTCTGTCGTTTACAAACTTGTATACAATTGGCTAACTGTTCTTTAGTGTCTATTATAAATAGTTATAAAGTTCAAAATCGCGTGTTGTTCTATTTGATAGTTTAATGGGTCTTTGTTGAATCGGCTCCCAAGTCCGAGTTCCTTTGAAATGCACGCTCGCTGACGGTCAAATTTTTATAGCTATGACGAGGCGTGTTGCATTTAGTACTTTTAGGTTAGTTTTGGTTCATTTCGCGGGCGAAGATGATGTTTCTCGTTTGATTTTTGATTGTAATTAATTTAATTAAGTGTGTAGTGATTTATTTGTGTACTTGTAGGTTTTATTAGTGTGTGTGTTTGTTTCTATTTGTAGCTAAGATGGTATGTAGAGAAACATGTTCGTATTTTCTTTTAGTTACGAATTATTTTACTTATTGTATTCTATATTAGTGAGGGTATTTTTTCATTGAACGGTATGAATGTTGGACATTCATGTCATTGTGAGGTTTTGTTTGGATAGTTTTAAAAAAAGCCAGGAAAAAACAATATAGTTCTTGTTATCTAGATCTTCATTTGTTTTGTTATAATTTCGTAAGTTATGTGTGTTTTGTTTTAAAATAGATTTTAATATAAATTATCTTTCTTTCCAGATGCATCCAGCGAGATGTTGAAAATGTAAATGTTCTGTGATCAGAAGATATGTCGCGGTCAATGATGGATAAGCAGGATTCCAGCTGGCGTAGATTGTGTGTGTTAAGATGTGTTGTGATTGTGCTAGTGATCAGTGATTGTGGTAGTGGGAAGCAGATGAGTGAGACGCTCCAGAGGGCGCTGTCGGCGGTGCGAGGTCCGAGCCCTGGTGCTAAGAAACTGCTAAATATACCTGAAGATGGAGGTAAGATTAAACTCACCACTAATAGTGAACACTTTGATTACTGGACATTGGGCATCTGTGAAGCATTTGTTTCTAAATTTGAAAGTAGATTGTTCTAGAAAGAAGAAATCTTACGAATATATGTATACTAAACGCTAAATTTTTAAACATGGAACGTCGAGTTTCATTTAAAAACTTTTAACGCTTGTATTAATGCTGCGTTTCTAAAGTTTCCAATTTTGTCATTACCTTAGTTTGACTTATGTTTTAAGGGAATACTCAAGTTACGTAGTTCGGAAACGCATTACATAATTCGAACCAAAAACATTAACGAATGGGTAAACTTGGGAAACCGGCCATAAAACACGTTTGTCTTTGTTTTTCACAACGAGAGGAAACGAGACAATGTTTTTTAACATTTCCGATAAGGAATACATTATTAAGAACTTTGAAACATTCATATATTCAAATGAGTTCACACCCAACAATATAATAACAAAAACTTTATGCGCCGACGATCCAATTAAGTTTCAGGGCGATTTAATTAAAGGTTATGACTTGAATAACGCACTTACAACTTGTACTTAATATATCAAAGTTATTCGTCTTTACGATAACACTTCTAAGTTGAAACTCGTAAAGCATCCTGATTTACGCTTCTTCACCGACAATGCCTAAAAGCTCTGCGTTTAATTACTTAAAAAGTTTTGACTTGTGTCATTATTAAGCATTCGGGGATACGGACGAAAGTTGTCATTAGGGTTGCCACTTCATTGTTTTATAAAAACCAAAAAAAAATTAGCTTTACTAAATAAAACTATTATCAACAGAAGTACTTTTAGATGTATTCAAATGGCTAATACCGACAACAATATTAACCATCTCAAAGACTAAAGAGATGCTTATATGAATTCTATATCCATGCCAAACCATTCTTCTGCGATACTCAGAGACCTTTAAAAGTCACTAAGTCTAGATTGACTATGTTACTAATATTATAAATGCTAATTTTGATGGATGTTTGTTAGAGTGTGTAGCCAAAACTGCTGAACGGATCTCGATGTAATTTGGCTATGCCAATGTAGAGGATAGTCTTAAACACATAGGCTACTTGCTTTTGTTTTTTATATGCTATGCTGACGGAGTCGCGGGTGAAAGCTAGTGATAAAAGAGAGACTAGTTTGCTAACCATTGCACTTGTGAGTCAGTAAATTTTATGTATTTTTTTTTTAAATCTATACATACTTAACATTTTTGTCCTCTGTTTGACATTTTACAATGTTGTTTTTTTTTTTTAATTTTTAGTAATATTTATAACCTGTTTTGACTTTGACATGTTTCGCGAATAATTTACATATTACTGTAATCTGACCGGTTTGTACGAGTTTTTGAAAACCCAAATTTTTGTGTTCGTATTAAAAAAAAAAGAAAGTTGTAATTATGTAAATTTTAAAATGCAAATATGAAATAGCAGTTTAATGCATGTTTTTTAATTCGTTGCGAATCTTGTTATACACAGCCCTGTTACTTGAGTATTCCGTGACCTTTGAACTAAGAACTAATTTATAAAATCTTATAATCACCCACAGGGCTTAATCTAGACTTTCTTTTTAGAACCGTATTCGCAGGTTCCCTTGTCTATCTTTAAACAAACGAGGGTAAAGTTATCTCTTGAAACAAAATATTGCTTAATATCGTGCTGAAACACTTAAAACTAAACAATCGCACAACTGTTTAGTCTCGCTTTGATTTCTAAAGCTTATATAGAAGTGCACAATGCTGGATTCTTAGTTGTGCAACTAAACAGTTGAATGGACTGGAAAACAATCGACTATCGTGCAGTTATGCAATAGTTTGTGCGCCCACTCTAAATATTTTTACGGCTACATGCTGAAAGGAATATTGAATATTTCGCGACGTAAACGTCACTTACAATCTGATAGACGTTAAAATTTGTAAGGAATTTGGAGTTTAAACCTGGCCTTATCATTTAAAACTTTGTTACATATTTGACGTTTCAGTATTCGGCCATTAGTACTGTTAAAAATTCTTCGACAAGAAATGTGGTTGTTTTTTTATTTTGATTGTCTATATAGTCTTTGATACACATATTTTTTAGCTACTCCTCTTGTATTTCAAAAGTTTGTACATAAGTAATCAAGTATTAAAGTTATACCGTGCACGATTTAACTTGGAATTTAATTACCACTAAGTAAAGAGTCATTTAACTTTCAAATTTGTGTGCCTCTTGACATCCAATTAAGGTGAGGTTATACTCGTTAAAGCTCATTAGGGGTTAATTCTTTTGTACAAAAAACATTTACCGACTCTTTAAGAAAATTAAAAAGGTAAGAAATTGGTTCAAGGCTTTCAGAATATTCACAAGGACAAAATATTCAGTGACAATGTTGATTCTTAATGATGAAATATTTTTGAATTTACTCATTACTAGCTGTTGCTCGCTACTTCGCCCGTGGAATTAAAAAATATATAGCCTACGTTACTCACAGATTATTTTCCTTTCTAATGGTTATAAAATTTTTTAAATCTGCCCTGAAGTTTTTACGTGAATCGAATACATACAATCCCAAAATTCAAATCTTACTCCTTCATTAGTAAAAAAAAATGTAAATGTAATTTATTTATTAAATAAGTAAATAATATATTTGTATAGACGTATTTGTGATTTCTACCTCTTTCTAGATGTTATTTTAATTCGAAAATTTTCTAGCACAGTAATATAATGTTTAATAATATATTATACGTGACGAAATTTATCATTGTTGGAAATAGTTTGTTCATTTAACAAGTCTAAATAGTTTTTAGAGGCGCTGAACCTTACTCACGTTGAGCATTGTTTTGTGCATAACTAAGAGTGCTTAGACTTCGCTACGGAATTTTATAAGTACCCTTCATTTAGTCGACAGGTGCAGTACATATTACACACGTAAATACTCCCCTGTTTTACACTTATATCGTTCTTTCGTCTCGTTTTAACTGCTCGTAACGTGTCAACATTTACCAAAAGCGTTTAGTGATGTTAAAGTATTTTATCTTTATTGTTTTTTACTAATAAACTTGAGGTTATTTTATTTATTTCTTAGTTATGAGCGCTATACAAACGCATATAGTAAGGGGAAATTATTCTCTATGTTAATTTTTGTTGTCATTATTAGTTAAAATTAATTCACGCCTTCACACAGTATACGTTTTCGTAAATCGCCTTGTCGTGAATTAATTACGTTAAAATCGTTGTTGCACTAAACGTTGAAAAAAGAGTTTTAAGAGCTGAGCACAGTAATTATACATGCATTTTTGTGTCTCTCATAATAAGTTAGTAAGATTATTAGTTACTAGCTGTTCCCGTGCAATTTCATCAGCATAAAATTATTTTTTTGATTACATGTGTCAAATTGTCAATTGCAAATGTCAAAATGACATGACATGACAAAACTTGGCAATCTCGCTTTCTTGATGTTGGCAGCAACTTATGGTCTCTTTCCCACATTAGGTTTTATCCAAAACATTTACCCCCTAAGTTTAAACGCGTGAAAATATATAGCCTAAAGCATGACGTAAGCGTAGGGTTTTTTATTAAAAGAAGAATTATTCAAAAATATGCTGTAATTGCTGACATCTTAAGCAACAAAGAAGTGTGTGTTTACGCTTTATTATAATAATATAGATACATTTCAAACGTATTAGTTTATCAATAAAAGTTATATCTTAAACCTACAAAAACCTCTATATAAAAAAGCAATGTGACATATAATTATACTAAAAAATAACGACATTGGAAGAGTTAAACTTTTGTGTAACTAAACAGTATCTTATATTTTTTTAAGGAATACATAAAGTTTGTTGTATAAAAGTGAGGTTTATCACACAGCTTTTCGTTAGTAATTCCAGTTGTTTATCGTCCTCCTGTCTTGTTTCAGTCTAAACATTTGCCCGACGGACGCAAAGCACACGTCTATCCAGTGCTCTTTGAAGTTACCCGAAACGTATGTCCGATGACTGATGATTGTTGAGAGGTGTTGTTACAAAACGATACGTTCCTTTGCTTTTTCGTTTGTTTTTCTACGTTCTTATGCTATTTCTGTATGTAAAGTGTTATTTCTGGTTACTTTGAGACTTTAATTGGATAGAAAAGTTCATGTATTATTTTGATGTGTAATTTGTAAGTTTTAATTCTGTTTTGTTTGATAAATTGACTGAACTTATAAGCATATAGTGATTGTGATATCGATGATGTTAGTGTATTTATTATATTATAAATGTTACTTGCGACTTGCCCGCTCGAAATTAAAAACAATTAAAAGACTAGCGTATGTTACTCACAGATAAATTACTTTTCTAATGGTAAAGAATTTTTGAATTCCTTCTAGTAGTTTTTGCGTTATTTCAATACATATAGAAATATAATTCTTTGCTCTTTATAATATTAGTATAGACGTTAATAGTATAAACGAGCAGTCGGCCATTGAGATTCGGCCCAATAGCGCAGTTATCGCTAATCTGTATTTGCAGATGCGTTGCCTAGCTTTAACTAACAAAGATGAGGACTATTGTTTTGTATAGAACGAATAAAAAACTCATTTATCGCAATCTCTACTTATTTCATGTTTTTCAACTTTCCAAAAGAAGGAGGTGCTCAGTTCGTCTGTATATTTTTTTTTAGTATGCCGTTCTTTTGTCAATCCTTTTTATGTATAAAAACCACCAAAATATAATGTATTTAAAAAGATTTTTTAGTATAAAGTAAATACCTAATAAAATAACTTGATGCGAAGGTTAGAAGAAATAACGAGCACTGACAGAAAGTTAACTTTTATTGAAGTAACTTATAATTAACGAAAAGTTACCCAAAAGTAGGGATGAAGTCATTCTATAATTGACTCTTGGTTACGGAGAAATTTTCTACTTTCCGAAACTTTTTGGTACATGGCAAAATACTTCTTGCGTAGATGTTTAAATTGACAATGGCTACATTGAAGTATGACAATTATTCCAAACTTTAC